GGATCCGTATTTTTTTAGTAACACTGCTTAAATAAAAAAATAATAATACTCAGAACAAATGCACATTTGTACGTGACTAACGAAACTTCTTCCTATATAATGATCCTTTTTTTTATTGGCTTTATTTTTCAACTCCCACTTGTCAGAAGTTCCGACAATCAGCGAGTGTGATGTCAAGATGTAGAAGGGTGTCTTGGAATAGGCGTGAGGGAGAGGAGTGCCCAGCGGCGTCCTTCCTGTCTTGAATGTATTATTTATAGTTAGTGGAGGAGATCCCTCATCCAGCTTCTTTTAAGCCTCCTTCGAGTGCTATCGGGCATTTTAGTCGTAGCCATGCCTCGAATGAGTTGGTATGTCCGTGTTATTATGAAAACATTATGAATTATCTTTATTAGTTATTATGAAATATCTTGTAGTGTGTACGTATGTGGTCGTTAACTGTAAGTCTTTATGCAGAGTAATGTTACTGACGTATCAGGGAGCTTTGGTGATAGTCCTGAAAGTTTTATTGAAAATCTGTGTGAAAATTTACATATGTGAGTCTTTTTGGCTGTCCCGGATATTAGTGAAGCGTATGTCCAAATTGGCTTAAGTAGGTAAGTATATGCATTAAATTTCTGTCTAAGTTTTAATTTCGAATGTATTGCATGGAGTGAGTACAATAGTCGTAGTCTTTTTTTATTATTTTTTTTATTGATGATATTTACAACTGTATTACAAGAAAAAATACATTCAGTAAACGTGAACAAAGGAATAAAATAGCATGAAATCACATGTTGAGAAACTACGCATTGGTAGCACTCTAAAAATGTATTTACAAAAGGAGATCTCGAGGCCATCTTCTTTTCAGACGCCTCTGAGGGTTTTCAGGGATCGAAGAGGAAGCAAGGTTAGAAACGAGAGGGTTTCAATGGCTCTGAAGTTTGTTATAGAAGGATAGGTATCTGTATTGGGCCAGGTCAGAAACATAAGGAACATTAAGGTCATTATGGATGATTTTGTTTGTGACAAAGTAAGGAGCGTTGAGGATTTTACGAAGGATTTTGGATTGTAAGGATTGGATACGAGAGGAATTCGATGGCTTGGTGGAGCCCCAGAGCTCAACTCCGTAAGTCCAAATAGGTCTTATTGTAGTCATGTATATGAATCTTTTGTAATTGACTGGGAGGTTAGAGCGTATGTTTAGTAAGTGCTGGAGTAGTCGGAAACGTCGAGCTGTTTCTTGTCGTTTCAGTCTGGTATGAGGATTCCAAGTTAGACGTTTGTCTAAGTGGAGTCCAAGGTATCGAATTTGTTCAACAGGGATAAGTGGGGTATTATTAAAGGATACTGTAGGACAAGAGGACATAGGTTTACGACGAAGTGTAAAGGTGATTTGATGGGATTTATTGAAATTTATTTTTATTCTCCAGTTTTGACACCATTCTTCAAGGTTTGTGATGTGTGATTGAAGGGTTTGGGATGCAATTGTTGGGTCGTTATTAACGGATAGGATACATGTATCATCGGCATACGTGGTAATGATTGTGTTATGATGGGTTGGGATATCAGCTATATAAACTGTGTAAATGATAGGACCTAGGATACTACCTTGAGGAACACCAGCGGACTGGGAAAAAAGGGATGAATAGGCATTATTATGATTTACTTTGAAGGATCTATCAGTTAGATAGGAACGGATAATGAGGAAGTATGTAGGGTGTAGGAATTTACGGAGTTTGTAAACCAGTCCTGGGTGCCAGACTCAAAAGCCAGTCGTAGTCTTAGGATATAGAGTTTTTGTTTTGTTTTCGATATGTGGGCCCATGTCATTCCTCTGTCAAAGGTCAGTCCAAGATATTGAACTTTATTTGTCTAAGGAATTTGGATATTTTCAAGGTAAATAGGAGGGCATGTTTCGCGTCGAAGGGTAAAAGTTATATGCAGTGATTTGTCATGGTTGAGTCGAATTTTCTAGAGTTTGCCAGTCGCAGAATTTGTTTAGATGATATTGTAGAGTCTGTGAGGCGTATGTTGAATTTTTATGTCAAGTTGTCTTGTCAAGATTTTTGTATAGTCTGCGTAAGTCATGGTAAGAGTATTGACAGGATCTCATATGTATAAATGATATACAAGAGAGGAGCGAGTAGTGACCCCTGAGGCACTCCTGCTAAGGCTGGTTTAATAGTAGATAGTTCTGTACCTTGACAAACAGAGAAAAATCTGTCAGAAAGATAGTAGGTTGATCCTTAACCAACGGTTTTGTTCTAATTTACCAACATTTGAAAAAGAACATGGCTTCGGATAAAGAGGTGACACAAGCTGCTGTCCTTCTTTATGTTGGTATTATTTAATATTTAATTGTATAGATTATAGCAATATAAATATTGAAATTTGTTTATATAAGGACATTAATAAAAATAAAAATACCCACTATAAAATATAAATTAATATAGCGTTTGTAATTTTTTACTTTCTCTTCTAAAAATACTTATTTCTGCTTAGAAGTGAAAGTTGTGTGATGCGTGTACCGCACCAGATTTTTGTTTTAGTTCACATCAAGAAATTTCCAATATTTTATAATTATTCGCTCCAATTATAAATCGTTTCATCGAAAGACATTATATCCCAATAAAAACTTTTGAATACTTTCATTTATTCCTCTTGCGTTATCTCGTTTTTTATCATTATCAGTTGATAAAAAAAAGTATGAGGAAATAAGCAATGAGCCACGATTGGGCATTTCCAGGTTGGACACTCGACTGAGAGGAGTCATCAACAAACCTGTCACTTATTGGTGACTAATTGGTTGACACCCTTTCATGTTTATATCGCAAATAAATATTTGGAATTCAGGAGGAAAACATATTCAAAAAATAGTTATAATAAACATTTCAAAACCCTCTTCAGTTTCATTATGAAATAGCAATATGTCCACTCATACGACATATATTACTAATTCGGGTGCAAAGTCTTTTAATGAATGTCGATTTTCTAAAGCTTGGAGAGAGCAGGATAGCTCAATGAGTAAGAGTCTGTGCTTCTATCCTGTGTCAGATAATCATTTATTACGTTTTCTCAGTTACATATCAACCCTTGTAGATCCACCTCGGACATGCCCAGTCTTGACTGTCCTTAATTACCTAATTTATTAAGGAGAAAAACTAGGTGGTTGAGCGTGATCTTGGCCCAATAATATCCTTGAACAACTGTTGGTCTTGAAACAGTACTCTCCCTAATTAGTACTGAACCCAATACCCTTCATGAGTGGTAGTGGTGTATGTGTGTTTTACGATTAGCTTTCGGCAAGGTTCTAAACTCATAGATGACATCGAAAATTTCATCGATGATTTTTGATTGAATCCTCAATTCGGTTATCTGCATCGATGGATCCGCGATTATTGTAGCTTCCGTGTTGTTATTTCTCAATTTTACTTTACATATTTATATTCATTTTCATTTATATCTATATATGGATATATATTCTTTTTAATATGTTTTTAACCTTTCAGAACGGTCACCTTTGAGATGTAATCCAGCTGTTGGTTATTAAATTCAACATAAATCGCTGTTCATTGGTTCTGGGTTCAATCGATGGGATTATCGCAGACATCTAAACTGTTTTATATCGAATGAACATCTGATATGAGTATTTTTTTAGTTATTCGAATAACTAATCTTGTGTAATATATATATATTATATTTATTGAGTATTACAACAATCTGTCACATGTACACTAGTTATAGTGAGATAGGTTAACATTCACATTATACGTACAAAAAATATAAAATAAATAGAAGCAAAATAACAATAATTAATAATCAAAAAGTATATAAAATAAAATAACCTAAAAATAAGAAAATTAAAACAATGCAAAAACACATGCATACCTATATACACTATTTACAATAACGCGAGGGAACTCCAGGAGAACCCTGCGCTACTCTTTCAATCAGTCAAAAGTACCTCACTGGTACTAAAGCCAGCGGAGATTAATCGAGAGCACTTTAGCCATGTACACTCATGTCTCCAATATATACAATCTTCAAAAGGTCGCGGGGCCACTGGCAACAAACGCATTTCAACCTTCTTAGAGGATTATAGGGATGGGTGGTGCTTGATAGGGATTGTGCAAGAGAATTGGATGATATGTAAGGTTCTGGTGAAATTTGGAGAATTTTTCTGGGATAAGGTCTAGGACAAATGGGATGTTAAGATCATGATGTGGGGTTTTGTTGGTTACGACTATTGTTCGAAGGACTTTTGACTGAAAGGATTGGCTGCGCTTGATGCTAGAAAATTGTGTACTATATTAAAAAAGTAATTCTATCTATTTGGGAGTTAGTCGATACAGAGATAAAAAGACACTCAAGCCGATTGCCGAAATGAATGAAAATCTGAGAGCAATAAAGGAAGGAAAATAATTTATATGAAAAATTACTATGGATGCAACCGCATCTTATCTCGACGGAAGGCGTTCTACAGCATTCCAAATATTTCTTAAATACTTCAATATTAATAAGAAAATACCTGGGTTTGTCAAATGATCAAGATTAACATAATCTCATAAATAATTAATTTTTTTTTATTATTGAAATTTACAACTGTATAATGATAAATACAACAAGTAAATATGAAATAAGTAACTTGACATGTACAACATGAAGAGAAACCACCCATTGGTAGCACTCCAATTAATTAATATTAAATTTTATATTATACCATTCATTCTCTATACAATCGTTTTTTTTTTTTGTTTTTTTTTAGATTAACATCCCTTTATAAATTGTTCAAGTGTTTTTTTTTTTACAATCACTTAAAAAAAATGTTACTTTGGATTACCTTTATTACAAATATATAAAAACGCTATAAGATACCAACATAACCCTTTCAAATATTTCATTTTATTAATCTGTACATGTAAACAGAAAACTGTAGTACATTAAAAAAAAAATGAAAAAAAAAAATACTTCTATAAAACTAAGACTTAGGAGTGAAGTTGCAAGGATAGACGTAGGGAATGGGCCAGTCACATCGGATGACCTGTAATCCCTTCGGCCGGACACGTCTTAGCCTCGAGGAAAGGGATAGCAGACATCTCGGATTAAGATCTGACAGGAGAGGTGGAGATCCCGTACAGTGTCCGATGCTCTACTTTTGGAGAGGATCCGAGAAATATTCGAAGTGACTTGTCATCTCTCTGATCAATCGCTTCTTTTTAAATTGTTTATTCGAGAAAGTTTTATTTCAGTTGCTCCAACGTGGCGGCAAAAGTCGATTCCCAAGAAAATGAGTAGTGCAATAAATACATGTTTCAACGACACCAGGATAATTTTTAGAACTTAGTCTAAATAAGCCTAATCCTAGGTATTTTTTGAAGTATAATGACATTAGGTATTTATAGCAGTCTGCAAATTTATAACAACCAGCAGGCCCGTGCGAAAAATTCGCACAGCATATTGTTTTCAAATGCCTAATTATTAAGAAAAAAAAATAATGCAACGTATCAAAGATAAAAAAATCAATTGTTACTTTATCGATAAATAAAGCTATAAAGGAAACAAAAATTATTTTAAATCTTCATTAATGTCTGGAACCAACATGTTTACAAATTTCAGTAAGCTCTATCTTTGCTAAAAATTCTCCGATTTCGATGATTTTTTTTTCTTTTTGTAGGGAATTCAGTAATCTTTTATATAATCATGTACATAACCGAAGGGAAAATTTTGTATTTTTTTAGTTATTCGCAAATAAAGTGTGTTTGCTTTCATAACTTATTTGCCTGAATTTTCGGGGTAATTGGACTATTTTGCCCGCCTGAAGGAGAAAGAAGCCTTCGAAATTGGTGGCTCAATCTTGAGATTTGGTAAAGAATTGACGATGATATGGTTTGCCGATCAAAAACACTATCGATAAATAATATAAACTCTCCCTCTCCCGATCATAGAGACCTCAAGTCGACGAAATGAGACATGTATTCAATGACAGTACTACAATTAATGTAAGATTGTGTGGATGCGACGAAATGTGTGAAGATTGCTTTATCTCGAAAATAGTACGTTTTTGGACTTAAAAACGCAGGATCCGATAGTTCCGGTCTTGCTGTACGCATCAAAATCTTCAAGGTCCAATTTGTCCCGTTTCGATCTACAGACCTACCACCGTTCCTGTATTGAATCCTAGAAAAATTATTGTATCGACTTTATTTATTTTAGAAAGAAAAACAAAGGTAGAGAATACGATTCGATAACCCCCTGTGAAATTCTGAATCCAACGGTACCCCATTCATGGTATTTGAGCACGACAGGAGCTTATATTTGGTACAAAACCGATTTCGAGCCTTAATGTAATAATATATGTGTGGATTAAAATTATAACTATAAGGGTATTTTCTTCTTATATTTATTAACACTTGTCACGTATGCCAGCGACTATTAGCAAATGTATTTCTTAATTTACCTGATATTTCAGGTATGATAAAGATTTTTATCTATTCCCGAAGTTTTTCTAGTTCCTTAATTCCGGAAATATCTCTCATTCATTACATTTTTTAGTTGCTTTTCGATGCGTTTGTCAGCCGTGTCGTTTAAAATTTTGTAGTTTATTAGCCGTCATATTAACGATAAGAAATAGACAATTTCGATATTATCGATATAGAAGGGAATTTGTTTGGAACGTGTTTGAACATGTACAGAATGTTAAGAATCTGGGTCTACGATAACTAATAAAAAAACAAAATTAAAAATGATATTAAGGTTAAGTTGAAATTTAAAAATTATAATTTACAAAACCATTATCCTTCCTACGGTTTTACGCTTATTGATACGAAACATGACCGCTTACATTAAGGGATGAGCAATGTCTTAAGGTTTTTGAAAATAAAGTATTGCGTAGAATATCCGGATCGAAGAAGGATGAGTTAACCGGAGAGTTTAGACGGTTACACAACGCCAAATCGCGGGAACTTTATCTGGTTAATATAATTGAGATGATAAAGTTGCGGCGAATAAAATGGGCATGTAAAATCGCTGGGCTTATTAACGAAAGAATTTCTAAAAAAGTTAATATGCGTTCTACCGACTGGTAAGCGTCCGAGGGGTTGACCAAAGCGAAGATGGGAAGATTGAGAAGATTCGTTACTAAGCCTAGCGGTTTTACATTCCTATTTTATTCACCTCAACTTAATCATCTCAATTATATTAACCGGATGAAGTGTACGCAATTTTAGACATTGTGTAACCGTCTTCTTCGGTTAACTCATCCTTCTTCGGTTCGAATATTCTACGCATTACTTTATTTTCAAAAATCTTAAGTTGTTGCTCATCCTTTAATGTAAGCGACCACGTTTCGCGTCCATAAAGAACCGTAGGAAGGATATGGTTTTGCAAATTCTAATTTTTAATTTCGGGACCGGAGGCGAGAACTAAGTAGTTTTGGGTTTAGATGGAGCCCGGTGGGTTCGCTATGCCTTATTATTATTTCTTTATTTTTCACATATAAAATGGTGTTTATAATATGTAATAGTTGGGGACCTATTAGGTCAGTCTGTCTGTGGACTTTGGTTCTCACCGACATGAACGTGTAGGTATGTGTCTGGTTGTAAAAGTTATATCTATACCTCAGAGGTCCATTTTATATTGAATAATTTACAAATAAATTTGATTAGCTAAAAGTTATTGGTAATTGGCTCTTCTGAACACATAAAAAAATTATCGTGATGTCGTTTACTTCCGGATCCGGATCCAGCTATGTTGTTATTTGTCATGATTTAATGCTATTTTTCAAACCAATATTATTTTCTCTCCTCCCCAATAAATGTCAACAGTTTTATTACATTATTTTATTTAATATTTTTCAAAATGAACATTATCATATCATAACAAACTTATTTTACTATTTGAATTCAGGTCAAAACAATCCAAAAGTCAATCAAATATTTATAAATATTTATTTTCTATTTGCTCGACCCTATATTCTGCCTCCCAGGCCGATTGTAAAATGAAAAGTTAATTGCTTTGTTTTATAGAGAATAATAAAATAAAAATAGTTTTTATGCTCATATTTTATAGTATGTTCTCCAGTTTGTTCATTACTATTTCAGAATTATTTAGTGAGTTTTAATAATGAATCATTTTTTTATTATTATTGAAATTTACATTTGCATTAAATGATATACACAAGAAGTAAATATGAAACAAGTAACATGACATGTAAAACATGAAGAGAAACTACCCATTGGTAGCACTCCAATTATATCTCTATATTAGAAGATCCCGAGGCCATCTTCTTTTCAGGCAGGAGGGTTATCAGGAATAGAAGAGGGAGCAAGGTTAGAAACAAGAGGGTTCGGATGGTTCAGAAGTTTATTATGGAGGGATAAATATCTGAATTATGCTAAATGGGAAACATATGGTACATTAAGGTCGGTATGGATAATTTTATTTGCGACAAAGTAGGGATTTTACGAAGGATTTTGGATTTTAGACATTGGATACGAGAGAAATTTGATGGTTTAGTAAAGCCCCAAAGTCCAAATAGGCCTTATTATAGTCATGTATATGAGTCTTTTGTAAACAGTTGGAAGTATCGAGCATTTGTCTAGTAAGTACTGCTAGTAGTCGAAAACGTCGGGCGGTTTCTAGTCGTTTCAGTCTGGTGTGGGGGTTCCAAGTGAGTGAATAATTATTTAAATTTATCTACTTTGTTTTTATTTTTAATAATGAACCATTACAATCGAACGAAAAATTCAAAATCCTAACCCCCTCTCAAAATTTGAGGTTTTACGTTTCAAGATACGTAGAATCCGAAAAACGAATAAAAATTTGTTGTCCGTCCTCCGTCCTCGCATTTTCTCCGAATTTAAAATCAGAGGTCACCCGAGGATGATCATCCTTCATCGACATTGCCTTCCGCCTTTTCCTGCAAGGTGGCGGCCGAAAAACCTGCGTTACTATAGACTAGCGCCTAAACGAAAGTACCAATTTCAATGAAACTTGGCTTAATTCTTCGCTATGCTCTTTAAAGTTATCTATATATAACACTTCAAAGAAAAGAAGCTGAAAAAAAGTGACGATGGATGGTAAAATTAGATTCCGAATAACTCAAAAAGTATTCACTTTTTTGTGTAAATTTCCTATAAAACAAAAACACTATTGTTAAAATCGGACAATTAGGAGCAAAGATATGGTCTCTAGATGTTTTTTATGTTCCACTTTGTTTTGGATTTTGATTTTTGAATGTATTTTTCTTTTAGCTAATTATTAATGATGGAAAAACAATGTTTAGGCAAATAATTGTAATTAACATTTTATTTCTTTTAATTTGTCACCAGGAAGGTAATGTTACTTTAAATGTACAATTGTTTGGAAATAATGAACCATTGTGAAATAATTTGCAGCATTTTTTAAATGACCGGCGAATAATTTTAGTATTTTATATATACGTATGTCTGGCATTTATTTTGGTTTTTTTAACTGTCAGACGAACAGAAAAAATATCAGCTTCACAATATTTCAACATCCAATTAACATTTGAGAAAGACAACTTTATAATTTTTTTTTAGTGAAAACACTGAAATGCCAAGAATCCATTTTTGAAATAATCGACCTGAATACTTTAAGCCATCTACGGCCTCTTTTGTGATTTGTAGGAAACAGATTAACAAATATCTTTTATCAGTTTTAGTCCCAAAATATTTTTAAATGTTTTGATGTTGCTCAAGCAATATATTAGGAATAAAAAAAATTAAAAAAACAGGTGTTTCAGAGAACTAACAGACACCATTTTGTAACTGAAGGCCGAAAGCCTAGTGATAAAATAATTAACGAAAGCTCCTCAGCTAGGTCGTCATATGTTTCTTTAGCTGCATTCCTTAGGCCAGATATAATTTATTGCCCATTTCTAATGTTTTTTCAACAGTCTTATCTTCTGCTCGTGTCATAGTCAAGCCGTTTACAAACGTTTGTGTTGACATCGAATGATATATATATATATATATGTTTTGAATGATCCCCTTTATGGAAGAATCAAATAAAATATAATCCATGTCAATCTAATAAAGCAATAAATGTCCGTTTGTGTGAAACATTCGTAATATTACCATAACGACATTTTGATGACTGAAATAACGATAAAACAGCCCAGAGGAATGAGCAATATCAAATCTTCGATAGAGAGGTTTCGAACACGTGGCTGTTAACGCATCTTGTACAATCAAAGCGACAACGCGCTTCTGATCCACCACGCTACAACAATTATATTTTCTGATTCAATGCTAATTTTTTTTTTTTTTTTTTTT